TTCCCTCATTTTAACCCCATCGATCTCGTGAACCACCTCTTCATCATCGGCATAAATCCATCAGGACTTGAAGACTTAAGAAGCTCAATAAAGTTCATGGGCGAGCGTGTGAGTTAAACTTACGTGCTGGCAATATGGAAGATGCGATCAGTAAACTGTAAGCACTTAATTCGTACGAAGTGGAGACTAAGAAATATATGACATCGGGGAAATAAGGTAATTCCTGTTTATAACAACACACAACCGATGGTAACTTAGGAGTTCTATGCTCTATATATGAGTTCTATGCTATGCACTCATATATAACAAGTGTTGAGGACAATTAGATATGGAAAATTAATCTTAAAAAAGGCGCTCAAATGTCTATAGTTAGTGGTGGAAAAGAAGTATTATTATGCAAAAATTTCATGCCGACTGTAGGAATGACTAAATTTAAATGCGGTTCAATCTTTTTATAGAGTTAGCAGAATTTAGAAGCCGATGGGACCAGTTAGGACACATCTTAGAACTAATATTATATAATAATATAATATAATATAATATAATACCCATCTATTACGAACCTTATAACCCGCGGATCCGGAGCGCTTCCATACGAGTTGCCTCGCAAGAAATGCGGATGCCGACGTTGCACACGTTTGGATGGGCTGCATCATTATACGTATAGCATCATCATTATACGTATACTATACGAATAGCATCATCATTATACGTACATTATACGTATAGCACCATTGTGAAGTATAGCAGCATCACAAGCTGCTATTTCGTGGCATCTGCTCGATATAAAGCTTGATCAGGAATTAATATGCAAGGAGTTGCGCAGTTACGCACCAGGGGAAATGAGTGAGTCAGTTTTCATGATAGGAATATGTTTTTTTTTTTTGCCTTTTTGCGTGTCATTTTGCACCAGTTTGGTCCAGCAAAAAGTCTTATCATTGCTGCGTCCGCTCTATGCTAGTGCTGTGGATACGAAAGTGTATGACTGCGCGAACAATATTACCAACTCTTTCTTATGAGTGCGCTATTGCCTGGGACGGTAATTCAAACCCTTATCAGTTGAGTGATCAATTTCATCAAATTATTCTAATAAATAACATATCATTCGGTCAGCAACAATACTTTCTCAGACAAAAATTTTTTAGCCGTTGTTTTGCTCATAATATTAATCTTTATAATTATTGCATTACTTTTGTTTAATACATTTTCACTCGCCTCAGCTGTCAGGGAACGTCGGTTCGAAATTATATTTAGGGAGGTATGCAAATCAAATTCAAGTAGGCAGGTTGCATTTAGAAACTACGGTAAACGTTACAGGCTTAAAGTAGACAGGATACGAGGGAGTATAATGGATAATGGTACAAAGTGAATATAAATAGATAAGTGAACTCGTGGGACAAGGTTCAGTCCTAAGAAAAATGGGCAGATGCCACCAATTAAACCAATGAATTAGACAAAAACACTGGAGAATTTGCTTAATTTCATATCTTCCCATGGCCTTTTTTTGCCACCTCTGAATTTTTGTTTGTTTGATGTAGTATTACAATGAAGTACGAATTAAAGATCTGACCTGCTTAAGATACAAGCCTAAATTAATATCGATGCAATTATATTGATTTGTCTTCACTTAGTTCTATTTTCCAAGCATAAATGCAAACATCCATAATTTTATCCTAAGATACACAAAGACACAAATATTGCCCTGCGCTTATACGCTCACCTGCTCAGTGTGGGAGAATAGGGTCGACAATTTTATTCAGGAGACCCAGCACTGAGCAAAGTGACGGAATTGAAGAAAAAGCCTATTACAGAAATGTGGATGGACCCCTCACTTCAACATTCATGGATCATTTAAACTTATGAAATATGCACACTGATCAACATGCAATTCGTGTACCACAGATATGTTTTCTGGAGTGCCGACATAATCCTCATCGTTAGCCCGCGGTCAACAGATGTCTGATAAGTCATGAATTAGTTGGATTAATTAGTCACGGAAATGTATCGTGAACGCTTTCTTCAGTTTCACTGCAGAATATCCCACACATTATATCAGAATATGTCATTTATGATGAATTGTTCACGCGTTATTTATGAGATTGTAATATTCTCAAAACCTGTTGTATTTTCGCCACACATCGTCAAACAAAGATGACATATAATTATTGATTATTTTTTATTCTCTTTATTTTCACTTGATATGTATTAATATTTTATCATTCATTTCGGCACAAATTACTTGACATCGAAAGTTTCGAAGACCGTGCGTTTTCACAGAGCCAGTAAGTTGAAATCCTTCACCGCGGTTCAGTGCGTTCGAGGTTTGTTTAATCACTTGTATCACTCTGTATGAATATGCGAAGGATATATTTTGCCCTGACACTCTCGCTAGCAATCCAAATTAAAGTGTCGAATGACAAACACATTCTACATTAATAGATTTTAGATATTTATTCATCATTTCATCCATTTATTTTTTCATTTTATCAATTAAAAGCCAGCCTGATATTAAAATATGACGTTATTTCATCAGAAAGATTCTTTCCAAAGACGGAGTCAACAGCGTGTAATAAAGAAGGAATATTGTTGACGTCCGTGGAAATTCTTTTGTCATCCATGACGCCCCATCAGCTCAGTGAACTCCATCACGATAAAAAAAGGCTCACGCTGGAAGGCCACCAAAAATTGCCACCGCATTCAAGGATCACAGTATAAGTCGACGAGGAAATCCGCACAATTTATTGCTTTCATAGTTTCACAAAAACCAAATATTTTCCCTGTCTGCAAAATGCCAATTGATCAGTTCGAGTTTCGGTGTATTATGCCGCTGCAATAAAGTTTGTTTGCAGCAGGAGAAAAATGGACTCAAAACTGAACATTTTCATTGACGGACCGATATTTTGTTGGCTGTTGCACGAAAACTTGTGATGTCTGTTGCCTGTTTAACCGACGGCTCCTGCTTCAAGGCTTCACTTCGACAATACCAAGTGATGGAAGTGCAAGTATTTCATAAATCACACAATATCGTCCTACGTGCGACATGGATCACAGGGATGAGGGTTTCATCTCTCAGATATTGTGTCAATAGGAATATATCGTTACATATATATTCTCCTTCGTACAGCTTATTGATCTAGTCTTAACATTGTCTTCATAGATGCTGATGTTTGGACCATTTTGGTAGATAAGGTAACAGAGTTTTTGTTCTTTCAATCTCAGAAATTTATGTCAATACTGAATTTTTGTGATAATAATGTCAATATTATTTAACAGAAGTGCTCAGCTGAGGTTCTGAACTAAATGCAATGATGCCACGATTGTTTCTTGATGATGTCAACCTCCATAAAGATCAATTTTATTTTGAGGACCGAATTCTTTCTGGTCTTTACACTCTTGCAAGAGTTGATGATTGCTTAATTGGAACATGACGTGCGCTCGCACCAGACTATCAAAATGAAGAGGACAATTTATGCAATTATATTTTGTGACTCGTAATTCATTTTGCCAGCTGAAATTCCCGCTAAGAGATGCGTGCAATCTAAATGAACGAATCAATGTTCTTCGTGAATATTTCGTTACCAACCGTCGCAGTTCCCGAAGCCTTTGTAAATTCAAACATCAGAAGCTTTTCATGTTATGCTGGTAATATGACGCTATATTCAAAGTTATATTGATACGTAAATTTATCGTTAAATGGTTCAATGAGGCAGTTAATTCATACTAACCACGAAATTAAACAAAAAATATCCGCCTTTAGCAATAAAACAGGGAGAATTTTGACGCCGAGTTGAAATTTCACAGGAAGGGAATTTTTAATTAATAGAACACATTACCCATTCTTAAATTAATTATTCCGAAAGAATCTTTAGGGTAGAAATTGCAGCGAGAATTTGACTATTAAAATCAAACAGGAAAAATCTTTTAGTGAGCGAGAACCTGACACCAGACCTGTTACACGATAAATATCTTGCAATTGCCTGAAATTATCATTCAGTCAGAATCTTTCAACAGGAAGTTGCGCAAATCATTTTATTATAAGGATTTAATATCAAGAGTCTTACGCACTCCATGAATCCTGGAGAAATAGTTTCCTAGCAATGATGATACGGAGCTTATTTTCCCAGCGACGTCAACACGAAGTTCTCTCAGCCGCTCGATGTTTAGCTTGGATTCGTGTAGACCTGGGCTCATACTTTAAAAAAAAAGTTAAAGATCGTAAGTTCATCAGCCAATCATTGACGGCCTTTCAAGCAATATCCACCAATCATAGACAAGAAAATAGAGCGAAAGTACTTACGTTCACTTAGCCAGTTTTGAAAAAATGGCCCAGCTGAATACTTAATTCTTCGCTCAGTGGTCAGTTGCACCAACTTGTGACCGCTGTGCGGGAGCCGCTGTTCATAAAGCCGCCTAGTTTGTTAAGAGACTCTCAGACCGCATTGTCCTGGTTGGCAAGCCTCCATCCATTAATTCTTCGTTATTGCACAATCATAAGTGTTATTCTGGCTTTTACAAGAACCCGAAAGCTGCAATGTTGGTCAGCCAACAATGCAAGGTTAGATCGGCTTAGTGGTGGAGCGTATACATATAACACGGCATAAGTTATCGTAATTGTGAAGATATTTACTTACTTCTGTTATATATTGGTGTGCTAATTCTGGTCAAGAAGATTTTACAATGAGTAAAGTGGAGATACATTGAGTCGTAAAAATTTGTGACTGGAGAACGCAACGGATTCTGAAATATCTCTAAAATAATTAAGTTTATGTAAATTTTGCACTTAAAATCCGCATTTTGCTGCAGAGAGCGACAGTTTTTAGTTATTAAGAAGCTTGTTGAACCGCCTGCACTGTGCATCCAGTGGTCGATGTGGGTTCAATGGGAACTGCATGTCGCGCCTCAGTGTAGTAGAGAACCTGCTGGTTAATATCAGCCAAGCATATCAGCATCTTATCAGCGGCATACCAGCACTGATTAAAGCCTGCTCACGTTCCACAGGAATGAAGGAATTATGCGCGGCTGAATTTGTAATTTCAAGAGTAAAGCAGTGCGGGCAGCGTTGTAGCTCGCGATCTCCCTTTTTCGTGCGGCCAAAACATCACACATCACCTGCCGGAGGCCACATCACCGGAGGCCACATCAACGGAGGCCACATCAACGGAGGCCACATCACCAGAGGCCACATCACCGGAGGCCACATCGCCGGAGGCCACATCCCCGGAGGCCACATCACCGGAGGCCACATCACCGGAGGCCACATCACCAAAGGCCACATCGCCTTAGGCTACATCACCAGAGGCCACATAACCAGAGGCCACATCACCGGAGGCCACATCACCGAAGGCCACATCATCGGAGGCCACATCACCGGAGGCCACATCACCGGAGGCCACATCACCGGAGGCCACATCACCGGAGGCCACATCACCCTAGGCCACATCACCGGAGGCCACATCACCGGAGGCCACATCACCGGAGGCCACATCACCCTAGGCCACATCACCAGAGGCCACANATCACCGGAGGCCACGTCACCGGAGGCCACATCACCGGAGGCCACATCACCGGAGGCCACATCAACGGAGGCCACATCACCGGAGGCCACATCACCGGAGGCCACATCACCAGAGGCCACATCACCTTAGACCACATCACCGGAGGCCACGTCACCGGAGGCCACGTCACCGGAGGCCACGTCACCGGAGGCCACATCATCGGAGGCCACATCATCGGAGGCCACCATTTCGTCCATCGTCTAATTGGGAGCAAGGGGAGCAAGTAATATTATTAAAATCTCACAATAAATTGAGGATTTGAGGAGTAAAAGTAAAGCAGGATTACGAAAGATAAGCCTCAACTACAGTCTCAATCTTGTAGTGACGAAATTGATACTTGAGTGGCATAAAGTATCAATACAAATTTTCAACAAATAATGCTCATCCAGATTCGAATATTGACCATTTTCTTTATTCTGAATTAGGGTAAATTATTAGGCTCGGTATTCCTGAGTTTATTTCGAAAAAAAGGCCAGTTCGAAACCATGAATATCGAAAATTGTTTCGTTGGCGAAAAAAGTCTCGTGATATATGCGTCTCGGCTGAGTTTTCGAAAAAATATTATATTGTCTCTGCAGCGACAAGTCTTGACAGCAACGAAGATCCTAGTTATGATCGGCAATCTTCCTAACGTAATTAATGTGATTTCTAAAAATCTTAATTAGCTTGAGCAACCATACATAAAAATCGATATAACAATATTTAATTACTTTCTTACGAAGATTATTATAAAAAACTATAGTTTTAATACTCAATCCTAATTTTAAAGGTTTAACCTTGACTTTAAATGTTTCTAACTTCTGAGTATGGGAGCCAGAACTCAATGCGCACGGGCTAAGTTTAAAAAAAAATCAATATATATATTTAACAAATTAGACTGCGTCACTAAAGTATTTATACTAATATAAAACAATGGTCTGTTTATAAAATTCAGTCAAAATTTGAATAAATATGTTGATCTGGCTATTATTTAACTAGTTTAATTAATCGTGTTCCTGCAATTGCACAAATAGTTGTTTTATAAAGGAATGGATTATCGAGATTTCGAAGATTTTATGCTTCAACATTTCCATGCTGTTTAATCAACAATATTTTTAACAGTAATAAACCAATGAAAAGATTGATCAGATTATACATGATTCAGATCGGAGTGAAAAATTTGTGATATTTTCGTCACCGCAATTTCTCAAAAGGATATCAGACATTTTCCTCCACCCGTTTTTTGTGTGTTGATCCCGAATTATATTTTGCTGAACAAAACCAGTTTTTTCTGCGCCGCTAAAAAAAGAAAAATTTCAAATTGCGTACTCCAACATATGAAAATTATCAGTTGCTTTTTTAGCAATGCAAATGCTCCGTCAGAAAATTAATCTTTAAACATGCCTTCTGAAGCGATTTCCAAGGACTGGTGGTATTAAAATTTTCATAAGTAAATTGTTCAATTAAAAATGTTAAATAACGATCTACTCTGCAGTGCCAATAAAGTGTGTATAGTTGCTTTTTCAAACTATTTTCCAAATTTTCGAATTTATTGATCGTTGATGCAGGAACTTCAACCGAACTTGTCGCATCTAATGGGCTCACTAATTCCTCATTAAAAACTTTTATTACAAATTAAATAACTTCACCTAAACTTGAAAACTAAATGAGCTCATTTGAGCGAAAGCGTGGACACGTTTATTGCTGCTCATCGTACGCTTTGGATAAGTTCACATATAATTCAAAAAGTGTTTAAATTAACTTGAGGTTGTTTAGGTTGTACTTGATTAAAAACTCCGTAAATATTCCGAACTGAACTTGTTATAAAGGTACCTATTTTTGTGTAATAAGAATTTTAGCAGCATCAGTCTAATTTTAGGATTATTTACATTTGCTTTTAATGTATAAAAAAGTACATATTTTATGAACGGCCAAAATATGTTATATACATATTTCATGTGTGAAAAATTCAAAATAGTGGCCAAACATTCACCGTCATCATGTCTTCATGTCTATGTTGAAATTATGAGCTCCTCGGTGCCTTTTATCTTCTAAATTCAACGCTGCAACCAAATTAGATTTGCTATCTCGGCACCAAGACGATCGCTCTGCTGCATCAGCCATATTACCCTTCTAGCCATATTACTCTTCTGGCCATATTATTTTTCTAGCCATATTACTCTTTTAGCTACTCTTCTAGCCATATTACTCTTCTAGCCATATTACTCTTCTAGCCATATTACTCTTCTAGCCATATTAATCTTCTAGCCATATCACCGCAATAACCATGCAACTCGTAGTTCAGAAGAGACGCCAGCCTGATTCAAGGAAGTGGAGCTTTGTCCGACGCTTGCATTTTAGGGAATTTCACGAGAATAAAATTATTCTGTGGCTTCTCCACTCAATGAAAAAAAGCGGGGATTTGCCTTGCCCTTTTTCATGTCATCTGATTCTCAATACTTATTAAGAAGCATACATGATGGCGCATATATGAGAGAGTAGACTATTTTAATCTTTGCTATAGCGATAAATTTTATTTTGAATTATTTTTTGGGATCTATTATCGATTTATAGTAATTCATCCAAAAATCTCGTGATTGCTCATGTTTACAAGTCATGCCGCTTGTAAATAAGGAGTTGTAAATAAAACATTGAGAGCGGTTAGTAGTTGTTGTGATGTGAGGTAATAGTTGTTGTGATGTGAGGTAATAGTAGCTGTTAGGATGCTAGCTGCATTGCCTCTCTGCACGGCCAAACCCAACCTTTGCTCTAACCATAGAGTCTCTCTACGTTCGCCGGACAATTTTGTAATGCGACGGCCAATCTGTGATATTAAAGGACCAATCGTTTCACCATATGTGCCCGTCGTCGTTTAAAAGTGTAATTTCATTATACATAAAAACAATTGGTCGTCTTGTGGCCAGCATTAATTTTTGGCACTCGCGCAGAAACATCACTCATTAACGAGTTTTGAATAGTTATAAATGGTAATAATTGGTAATATTCCACTGGTAATTTGAAAGTTTTTTTTTAAACTGACTAAAAGTTCCATACATCATCCATAACTTAGTGAAAAGAGACGAGAAGATATATTTTCACGGGAAATTAAAGTAATATTCATGCAAATTTATTTCCTTTTGGCATTTTTGAAAGACATTTTGAGTTGTAATTTCCTGCTATTTCAATCTTATCGCGACTGATACGACCGGAAAGCTTCAGCTTTACGACTTCTGCAAGCGAATGGAATCGTATAAATTTAAGAGGTCGTTTCTAGAATTTCCGGACCATCGCGTACACGATAAACTCAAGGCTCTAATGCTCATTTAACGTTCATGTAAAGAGTTTTTACTATGCTTAGTACACGTCTAAACTAGTCGCCTCTACTGTTGTTGGTTAATCTGATCAAACAAGTCCTTTTAAAATGCTTGTGTTGTTGTTCTGAAAGTGAATAATAAATGTTTATCCAATCATATTTTTGCGCGTTCTTATGATGTCATTACATGCATTTTATTGTCACTTAAGAAGCTTTATCTGCTGCTTATAGCTCAATATTCCTAAAACTACAGAGAAGAATAAAGCAAAATGTAAGGCAAGCGAAAATGTCATTCACTTTTAAGGTCATGGACAATTATTATCGCTCAGGAGTGCTGCATCTCCGCAAGCAATAAATAACATGTCACCGTGAGATGTTATTTATTACTTAAGGAGATGCAGCATTTCCTCGCACATGGACTTCCGCACGCCGTGGTGGCGACAGAAATCTTGGAGCTTTTTAATGACTCAATCGAAGTATCGTATAGTTAGCGGTAGAACGTTTGAACATTGCTGCTCGTGTGCAAATGCTACCTTTTAAATAGATTACATTCAAAAGTGCAAAATATATTGTTATGTACTTGCAATTCTACTATAACTTAAATTTTTACAATGTTTTTAAAAATTTATAAACCACACGGTTGTGCAAAATTCTCGACAGAAATTTCAAAGTTAAAAATTACTAGGTACCAGCAAGTCAAATCCTGATATTTCTTTGCGATTTTAGAATCCCGCTATCCCAAATCGAACTTAAATAAATCCAACCAAAATAATAAATAAAACTAATGAATAATTAATAATGAATAATAAATAAATAAAATTAATAAAACCTAATAACAAATAAAACTAATGTGATTATTTAAAAAATACCTATTCAAATTCTTATCTTGCGTACAACAAAAAACATCCGATTCTTTTCCGTTGCTAAATGCGATAAAATTCCTTATTGTCTGTTAAATTAAATTTATTTATGTAATTAAAAAATTTCAGTTCATTTCAAAAACCTTTCCTCTCTTTTTTACAAATTCTTCCTATTCTGCCAATAAGAATGAATTGTCAAGTTTAGGTAAAATCCAGAACGAATATCGTGTGTACACGCTTCTAACACACGCACAAACTTTGACGAAAATGTAATATATTGCATTTTTTGTTGAAACCCGCCCCTGCAATTACGACAAATTGGATTCTAGAATCTTGTGCATATCGAGGGTCGTTACTGATTCATTTTGAGTCTCAAATTATCAGATAAAATTTGCAATGAAAATTCTAACGGCATGCGTGCCGTGCCCGGAATTCAGCCGCTGCATCTAGAGGAATTTCAGGGGCATTTAAATAACCTAGAACTTTAAACTCGGCAGAACTGGAGATGAATTCCAGTACCAAGCATGACTTGAGACTGGATTTATGTACTGTCCTGCACCAATTAAAGATGAATTTCAATTTTCTGCCGCAAATTTAGTTTAACTCTGGTTACACGTGGGAAACAATGGGGCGGAATTACCATTTCTAAGCAATATTTTTAAAATCTCAAAAAATAACAATATTTTTGAAAGCTAGAAAAAACAAAAGGATCACCTTATCTTAAAAATATTGTAATATTTTTCTTCTGAATTTGTTGTCGATCTGCAATAGAAAAAATCCGGTGACAATATTTCTTACAATTATTGCTCCGACTGAATTTCATCTGTCATAGCACAATTTTAGATGGATTGTATTTTCTGGGCAAGAATTAAATTTCAACAATGTTTCAACTCTGAAGTTGAATTGCAGTCCCATTGCAATAATTGAGTTTTAATTCC